CACGTAATTGGCCATTAACAGCGACCCGGCCACAAAGCACAAAGGACGACACTTAATATTTTTATCCATGAAAATTGAGAAATTGAATTAAAAAGTGCGAAAATTGACTGCAAATTTGAATGAAAGGCGTGTCCCCGCCCTGAACTAAACATAAATGTAAAATTAATTGAATTTGCATTTTGAATATATGTATATAGACTCACATGGTGGAAAGCTTTAATGACGAGCGATTTAATTGCGGCGGGAACCCTGAGGTCGGACACGTTATAAAAATAATCCCAATAAAATGCATTTTTCATGTCAAACGCCTGAGCTGGCGGAATAACCTGAATGCACGCACAGGACTTTACGGAATTGCATGCAAACAAACCGGAACAACACCATCAGCTGCCACGCACATGACTGTAGTCCAAAAATTGTCACAGGGTGCTTTTGTTCAAGTTTTCCTCTCGCCTTTGGGGGCAGTAAAAGTGCCCTCGCCCCTCTTCATCTCCGTGTGCATTATGTAATAACAGAAAACAAAATCACATTTTGCAGCTAATCAAATAGTCAAGAGAGGGCAAACATTCAAAGCCATTTGGCAAGTGAAGTCTCTCTGGCCAAAGGAAAACACAAAGAAGCAGTCATTTGATGTCAAAGGGGGATAACGGAGGAGGTACAACACAAATCAGCTAACAAATGAAGCATTTCACTAAACAAGTGCACAGCTGGAGATGCGGAATCAAAATTATGGAACTGAAAAGAAAATGTCTGATGAATTGGGAAATAAATTCTTCAAATTAGGTCTAATATCGCACAAAAAGTGAACTGAGGATTAAATAACAATTTATTAAATATTTTTACAAGAAACAAATCTAAAAAGTGGAATTCTTATATTTATTAAAGTTTTGTTTTTTAGATTTAGATTTTGCTCAGTGCCTCACCAGGACTAAGCAGATTTGTCTTGGCCGCAAATTCAATTTATTTGCGTCTTAAAGCGTCACCAGCGTTATAAAGCAATAAAGCCGGAAAAAGGATTATCTGGCAAGCTGCCTGCTTTTCCTTTGGGTCAGCAAATGTCCCCTGAGTGGGATCCTAGGAAAAGTTACTGCAAAAAATGGAAAGAGACCCCGGCAAAAGTCAGCCAAAGTTGCAAAGCACTCGCTGATAGCAAGCAACAAAGAAGTTTTGTAACCAACAACAGAATAAAAAAAGAAAATTGGGAAGGAAAGAATTATAATGAAACATAAAAAAATGTCATACTTAAACGATAGCAAAACTTATTTCTCAGATATATGCTGAGCAAATTGCAGCACTAACCGACAGCACTACCCCAAGTGGTTCAATTAATTGCAACTCACACAAAATGCATAATGAGAGCTGAGAGGGGGAAAGGACTTTTCCATGCAAGACTCGAGGCCCTTAGCCCCTCCCCTCAACTTACAGAGTTATTATATTTCCGCCCTTTTCACGTCGACTACCCTTTCCCCCTGTGAATTTATCATGCATTATGCAGAATGTGTTGGGGTAAATGATTCCATCGATGGCACAACAAAAGCGGCAAACGAGAGCGTCTCAACAGCGAATTTGCGATGAGTGCGTGAGCACGTTGGCTCGAGTGTGTATCAATTAATTTCCATTCGTGTTAGATGCTCTCCAGGTGGTAATTATTTATCGGAAATAAGCTATTGACTAATAACCCACATTTGTTTTAAAAACACAAATGAAATCTTTAAAACGTATCATAATGACTTAATGTTGTTCTTATAAGAAATAAAATAAATTTCTTTAAGATTTTCAGGAATTTGTTGCTTAAACTTTGCAGCTATCTTTAAGGATAGCATCAAATGGGTTAATTTTTCGATTTCCATTTTAAAGTTAACCAAAAACCTCTTAAAAACTGAACTAGTGACCGTGAAATTTATCAATTGTCTTCCACGCTTTCACTACTTTCCTATGCTGAGGGTCTCATCACTAGTCATTAAAATAGATGTGCATATATGCAAATGGGTGAACGTAGGAGTATATTTCTGAGGCCAGAACTCTCAATCTCAGCGGCGCACAAAAGTAGGCAACAAAAACCGGCTGCGTTTGTTTTTCCTCGCCGCCATTGTTGCCGTCTAGCGGCTTTCAACTTGACGCCAACGCACTTAGGATACTCCACACACACACACTCACACATTGGCAGACATTCGCACACCACACACTCACAAATGCATCATATCTTGACTCATTAACAGCCCCTGAGCGCAGCGCTGTAAAAGCGTTCCAGAGCAGAGATTACTTTGCCTGATACGCCAAACACTCCGACGGGCATTACAGTCAGACAGGAATGGCAATTTGGCTTTTAATTATTACAAATTAATGTCTAAACAAGTTAAAAATATTTATTTATGGCAGAATTTTAAAAGAACTGTAAAAACTTCAGTTTTAACATTCGTAAGATTATGCGAGTTTAGAAAGTTTTAAATTTGTTCTCAATGACGATAACAGGATTGTTAATTCACTTAAAGAATATAGTAATATATATTGTTTTGCAAAAAACATCACCTATAATTTAAATATTCCATTCAAAGGAAGTAGGATTTGAAATGAATAGCTTTTTTAACTATTTTTTTTAGTACATCTTATAAGGCAGTTTTCTTTTTGCTTTTAAACCTTCAAACATTGTAAATTTTTGATCAACACTGTTACTCAGTGCTATGTTTTAGGCGTTTGATTCTTGACGCTCAGCGCTCAGAATTCAGTGTTCAGTTCAGTAGGTGACACCAATGCGCCTAGGTGTTCTGGCCGGCCCACGCCGTCTGGCCTATATTGCCACATATAGGAACATATAGCTCCTCCCGAGTTCCACCCACGCGTCCTCATCCTCGATGCAGTGCACTAGACTGCGTGCACTTGACGCTATTGCTCCACATTTCCTCCAGTTGCCAGAGTTAGGGTGCGTACGTACAGTGGCCGTCGAAATAATAGGCAAGTCAGTTATTTTTAGAGTTAGCTTAGGTAACTACGATTTATAAATTAAGCAAAATGTGTTGGAGTTACATTTTTCCCATATTATTAAACATAAAAAAGTTAGTAGTTATTATCTTTTTGAAGATTTTTAAACATTTTTTAGACATTACATCTCTCTCTGTGCCCTTTGATATTTTTATAAATTTATTTTATATTCTAAAAATTCAACCACTGCTTGGACACTTGTGTATGTGGTTCGACATCTCCCTTATCCACCGTACCCAACCCAAGCCCCAGCCCCATTTGGTCCAACGACACTCTGGGGGGTGCCATTAGTGTCGCTGAGCGTTGCATAAAAAAGTTGAGCCAAGTAAGTTAAAACAATTCGCACAGTGCGTGCCGCAAGCTTTCACGTAGTCTCCGATCCCCGATATATCCGTATGCTGATGTAAAGTTTTCACCTGCCTTTCCAAGAACTTTTCGAAAATTGTTCTTTTCTTACACGTAATTATGCAAAAGTTAAAAGCAGCCATCATCGACTTGATTCCTCTTTTTTTTTTTTTTAATATTCCAACGTCTCGCCAGCCAGCCAGCCAGGTAGAAAATCAGTCAGCACTTGAGCTGTCGTTGTCGCGTTAAATTATGCAAAAAAAAAAGAGGAAAAACTTCCAGCGGAAAAGCCAGGGCAAGCGTGAGGGAAAAGTTCATTAAAAAAGGAGAAAAATCCAGGACTCGCATTGGTCATCACACCGTTGAGAATTTACTGTTGTGCGATTTCCTCCATTTCGGGCGTTATAATTGCGGCTGAGAAATGGAATATGAGCTGGATATTCCTGCGAAATGCGGCTGAAATGTGTTTGCCACTTGATGCCAATTGGTTGGAAATTGCGTAAACACGTCAAGTGTGTAAAGTCGGCTCGGATTGAGAGGAAGTTAAAAGGGGCCTTGTGAGGGCGGGTTCGGGGGCAGACTTAACTCGGACCGCAGTGTAAGCATTTAATTGCAAGTGACCTCAAGTGTTGGCCGATTTGATGGCCGGGAAATAATGAGCCGTTTATGTTTACATGAGCACATTGAGAATGTTTGGCTGGGATTGCCTGATTTTCAGGAATTTATGTTTGATGTGAGGCTATTATTGCATAATGTAATTTGGATTTCGATGCCTGAATGTGTAATTAGATATTTGGCTTAATGGATAAGATTTGATATATTCGGAAACGTGGAAGGAAAACCTTTCAAGATGCCAATATTTTTATAATAATTGTTGTAGTGAAAGAGAGATGTTCATTTGATTTCAAAAATCTTAAACAATATTTAATAAATTATGCAATAAATATTTACTAAAGATAAACGGTCATCATAAATAAATAATTTTTATTGCTCAATTAGAAGGACACTTGTCTTCGGCCCATACATACAAACATACCTACCTACCTACCAACTGTCTGGGATCCCAGCTATCTGATATTTCTCACGCCAAAGCCGATGGCCATTGTCGCCTCGTTACGCAATTGGCCGGCACTTTAAGCGACAAGCCGGCACTTAATTACATGTGTAGTCCGCTCGTGGCATGTCCTCTGCTGTCAATTATGGTGTGTCCGACATGTGTACTGCATCTGCATCTCCGCCACTGTCCAGTGGTGGGGGCGAATGAGAAGGAGTGGAAAGTAGGGGTTAAGGGTGAGGTCCTGGCAATAGAGTCGCCGCCGACACGGAATGAGTATCAATCACGACGAACATGTTAAAATAATTTCATTTCACAACCAAAATTAAATGCAGTCGCGTGCAGGGCCCATTTACATGACACGACTATTAAATTAAAAAACATGAATGGACAACAGGATACGGGCCGTGAAGTGATTTCAGCGAAGGGGAAAGGGCAGATAAGCTACACTTAGGAAAAATATTCTCCCCAAAGAAACATTCTTGACCCTTTTCGAGAGCCCAAAAGCTATCTTTAAAGGCAGTTAAGCTATTTTTCAACAAATTTACTTTAGAATTTATCAATTAACAGAGTAATAAACTTTTTATAAAAAGAGGCTAGCATTTTTTTTCAAGTGCATCCCTCCACATGCCATCGTTTAGTCGAAGGCAATTGGTGGCCATAAAAATGCTTTATTGGCATGCCAGCAATCGCTCAATGTTTGCTTTTAATTTCAGCAGCTGTACGCTGACTGCCCTGTCATAATTTGTCAATTGCGAGCTAATTGTTTTCTCTTACCATTTATTATGTGTTTTTCAGCCGGAGAGTTACAGACCAAAATGATGGCCACGTCACAGGATTATTTTGGCAATCCCTATGCCCTTTTCCGCGGACCGCCCACAACTTTACGGCCGCGTGAATCGCCGCTTGGCGTGGGCCACCCGCACAGTCATGGGCATATGCATAGTCACGGCCATGCCCATGGACATGGCCATGCCCATTCGCATTATGCGGCCTTGGACTTGCAGACGCCGCACAAGCGGAATATTGAAACGGATGTGCGGGCACCGCCGCCGCCATTGCCGCCGCCACCGCTTCCGCTTCCGCAGGCATCTCCTAGGTAAGCCTCCCCCCTATAATAAAATCACAAAAAATGGGGGAGGAGAAGAGACAGATAAAAAGAAAGTGGAAGAAGAGGGAACACAGTTAAGACGAGCAAAGAAGAGAAATCAAAAAAACCAACCAATTGCAATGCATATCATCAGCAACACACATCAACACACTTCTCTGCTATGTCTTCAATCAACCAAAAAATATTCAAAGAAATATACAAAATCAACATCAATTTTAAATCTTTTAAGTTAGTTTTGAAAACGAGTTGTAAAAGCCCTTAACTAATAACGCCCATAAGTAAATTGTAGAGTAAAGTTAAACTAGTAAATCATCCTAAAATATCAGCTTTCATTTATTAACCTTTGCCAATGGACTTTGATCCCATCAATTAAATGCAAAATACCAATATCAAATAGAGAAATAGAGAGAGAAAACTAATATTATTAGAGATATAAAATCAAAAAAGAAAAGTGTTTGCTAAGCTACTAAAATGTAAACTCTTAGAATATACACTTAATTTCCTTTGCTAAGTATAAGCCAAAACTAACTGCAAGAAACAACACCAAACTATAAGATATGATTAGGAAAATATTCCATAGCTAAATGCTAATAGTTTAAGATTATTTGTAGACTTAAGGCAGAGCATTTCAGACAGCACTTGTACCGTTCTAGACTTAAGTAACCAAAAACAGTATACGTAACTCAAGCAATCTCATAACAATAACTAAGTAGAAATTCTTATTAAAAATACTTAAACTAGTCAGTCAAAGACCTTGCCCAGCTACTTTATAGATTATTAAATATAATAATATTAAAATACAAACAGTTAGTATTATATAGCCAAAGCCAGGGAAAAGGAGTTTGCATATATATTTGGTAGATGAAAACAGCTAAATGAAAGGTCCACAAGCTAATCATTAAATACTTACAATAACCAACTAACTAACCAACAAAGATAGTTAATATCCGAAGTATACGTAAATAGAAAACAAAGAATTTTCCTTAGCTTAACATACACTCTCTTTCAAAGCAATAACATAAACAATAATTAAAAGTTAACGCAACTAAACACATACTATATTGTATACCAGAGTTAGTTTATGCCTAAAACACTATTAGTAGTCCTAAGTCCTAGGCATAGACCGAGCACCAAGGCGAGATATGCACCCAAAATGTAAAATGCAGAAATTAATTACCAAGAGTACAAACTGTAAAGGTTAACCCCCTATTGAAGCTCAATTGGCCAGCCCATTAGTAACTCTAACTATAGACTTAGATTCGTAAGCAATTGTAAGGCAAACACTTTTCAAGTGAGCAACAAAATATCAAGCAAACTGTGAGATTTCGAGGACGAGCGTGGCAATGGAGCAACCCTTTATGATCATCAATCAACATTCCCCCAAAAAAATACCAACCTGGAGGAGCTGCTCTTCAATCAACACTCAACCCGAACTGGGCCCTAAAAATACCCAGCAACCTAAAGTTAGTCTTTTCCTTAACTTCTACTAATCAGTTAGTTAGCCACCGTTTCTCTCTCATAATTATTAACCAAAAAAAAAAAAGAAAACAAGAAAAAAAGAAAGTAATACCAAGACTTCAATCAACAAACCCACACAAAATATCCCCACCAACTGGCGCGGTAAGTGAAGAGCCATTTTAATCATAGACTTAAGCCCCTAGCCACTGACTAGCCAAAAGTAGTAGACTAAATGTAGTGAAATCCACTTAGAAATCAACTGCATTCCGATGACGGGCGGCATAGAGGCCACTTTTCCATTTTTTTTTTTGGAAAAACCGATGACGGCCGCTGCATGTGATAAGCAAGTGATAAACCAAACGTAGAAAAATAGGAAAACCCTAACTTAGCTGCATTTTGCGCATGCCAAATGAAAAATAACAAACAATAAATCCCAATGGAAACTAAAAAAAAAACTCTACTAACTCCAAACTATAGCAACATGCAACGAAATTCGTTTAATTAACATGCAAGTCAAGTTTTACACATGCAACTTAATCAAAAAAAAAAAAAAAAAGGAAAATGTTCAGTAATTATTCTGAGAGGGGTCTATGGAAATTTAAATTAGGGTATTTCCTTGAGAAAATCGCGTTACTTTATGCCCCGTTTGGGCGATAATCAATTATAGCGGAAATGTCTCAACAAGCGTCTTAAATATGCAAAAGTACAATGGCGGGTTGTCATGCTAGGAGGACATTAAAGGTGTACCCTTAATTGTGGTCACACCTGACCGAAAGAATTTTTAAAAAATTTGACATTTTTTGATAAGTTAATTTTAGGGGTTTCTATGGGTGTGAGTAATACTAACTTTTTAACAAAAATTAGGGGTTGGAAAAAGAGTTTTTAAAAATGAGTAACTTCAAATTGTATTTTCCTTAAATTCCTCCGTTTTAGCCCTTAAGCATTCCCTAAACTCATAAGATTTTTTACAATCTTAATCATTTAAATATTAACTTTAAAACCAAAGCTCTCTGCTTTTAAATCAAAACCTCACCATTTCAAATCAATTCCTTTAAAGATCTCTCTTCTGTGATTTCGATTTTAAGGCCATACTGTTAACATGTTCATTTATAGAAAAACTTGTTTTCAACTTGAGCGCCTAACTTCTGGCCAAGTTTTATTTCGAACCCGGTCGTAACTGTGACGTGTGGCATGGCATGTTGCCAACACTGGTCATGCACTTCCTGCTAAAGGGACCTGCAGCCGCCATGTGATTAAGTAACACATGTAACTGCCAAAATCGCTAGCCATTCCCAGGTGTCCTGACGACGGCTGAGACATGCTAATTTGCCAAATGGCCAACCCATGGGTTTAGCTAATAAAATGCTGAATAATGGCAGATTCTAAAAAATGTTATAAAAACTTCACAAAAATTTAATAACATAAATTTTATATCCCACTTTGTGGGTCTAAAAATTAAGGTTAAAGACTAGCCGAAAATGGAAATATAAAGCCATTAAATCTTTAAAGGAAATTCTTATTATTATAAACCAGTCTTGAGGTCTACCTTCATAATCGTCTAATTAACTAAGAAGGCTTTTACAAACTCCTCTTAATTCCTTTTTGCCATACTAATAACTCCAACTAGCGAGTATTTTATACCTGGACTTTCGCAATGGCTTAATTTTCATTAAATTAAATACAAGCCATTTCATTTACTTGCCTGTTTTTGGTCCAAAGCCAGGCTAAGCGACAATTTGGTGGCGTTTAAGAATGTCCCAGCATAAAATTGCTGAAGGCCGAGAGTAATCATAATAACCATAATAATAATGGCGCGATGGCCCCAAGTCATGTTACACCATTAGCGCAGAATCCAAGGAGCCAAGGAGCAGAGGGTCCTGAGAATCTAAAGAGCTGAGGAGAAGCTGAGGAGTAAGAACCAGAGGTACGCCTGTAAATGCAATTTAATTCCGAGTCTGTGAGCGCCACTTGGCCAGGTCTAATGAATGCAGCAGACTGTGGAACTGGCACAGGACGAATACAAAAGGCCGGAGTTTCCTCGTCCGGAGTTTCGTCCCTCTGTCCCTCTGTTTTTAACGCCATGTTGTTGGTGCTGCAAACAATCCAACCGGCATCCTGCCGAGAAAAGTGCGTATCTCATCCTGTCTGCCTTTCCCCTTCTCCATTTAACTGAAAATGAATCGCCCATGGATATGGCCAGCTTAATACCTGTAATTAAAAACTGTACACCCAACGCCCCCCTCCCTAGAAGATCCTGCCGTTCAAATTATGTGAACTTATCCGGCAGGAAGCTTAGGCAAAATTGTTATTGACCTGCTGCAAACCATTTTGTATTGTATCCTCGAGTAATTGCGGAAGTGTTGGCCACACAAAAAACAGAACATAGATAGGTGCATTCCAACACCTGCGGCCAAAAGCCAAGTCAATAAATCACAATTCAGAAAATCAGTTAACAAGTTAAGGTGCCACCTAAGCTGCTTAAAGCCATGGCTCCTGACTTTAACCTGTTAACACATTTTCCAGCTGACTTTTTGCCACTTGGCGTTGCCTCTGTTCAACTTTTGTTTGCTCCAATGTTTTGGACCCTTTTTCCTGGCCAAAAAACCAACAAAGCAAAGGTTTTTCTTTACCATGGCACTTACACTAGAAGAATGGTTTGGAGGTAAAAACAAGTGCTGAACTTTTCTAGAGACTAAAACTTTAAAAAGTGATTCTTAAATGTATGTTTCCCTAACTATTTTTACCACATTTTGTAACTTAAGTACAACTTGTTGACTGATTTGTAGCTATGACAGCTCTGTAAGAAATGTAGGGACTATTTGAAACCGCTTAAATGTGCATTTCTCTCAGTGTAACAACCACATCCTTTGGGTAAAGTTTGTCTGTGGCGTGGCGTAAACGCAGCGTGTCGTCTGGCAGCCCCCGCTAATTGGATAAGAATCAGATGTTGGCACTTCATAAACTGCCACCGCTGGCTCATTAGGGTCTTGGGTCAAGAAAGGAACCACAGGTAACTTTGCAGCAGAGGTCAGCGATGTATTTAAGAGAAAAGTTTCAACAGTTTTGAACAAGTCAAACTACTTGATTGTCTAGATTGGTTAATAAATATAAATAAGTTAAATAGTCACAGAAAGACTCGGTTATCAACACTATTTAAACTTCAGGAACTTCAAAATTCAGTCCAATTAAACTATCACATTTTTGTAATCACTTTCCATTTTAATTTCGTTTTTTGGGAAAAAGAAATCCCATCAAATGTATTTGAATTTTTAAAAATGCATTTTTCTTTAAGCTGCATCTTTGATTTGTTTCGCCAAAAAAGCTCTGACTAATTGCCAAGAAATCTGTGTGCAGAGACTAACAAATTGCCGATGAATTTGATTTCAACTTTGGCCATACGTTTTGGCCATTTAATATTTTATTAAAGCAATGCCTTCTTGAAAAAGAAGCAAAAGCTTAAGCACAGACAAACAAATGGTGGAAAAGGTGATGCACAGACCCTGGCACAGACAGAAACGAAATGCTCTTTA